TTAATCAGGATGATCATCAGTTCTCTATCTGATAGGCCGAGAAGTTCTTCCATGTCATCGTTGAGCTCTGGTGACTGTGTTTCTTTTTATGGTGTGTTCTCCTGCTAGCTTGCTTGGTTATTTACATTTTTTCTTCTCCCTGTTGTTTGCTTTCTAATTAGTTCAATGTGTTGGGATGTTGTGCCACTGGTGTTGGCGGGCATCTCTTTGGAGTGCCCCTTTAGGGGTGCTGGAAACTGTTTACCAGACTGAGACCAGCACTGGTAGGACAAAACTCCACCAGGGTGTTGATGCTGTGTTGCTGGGCTCTGTCCCTTACAGTTCCCTCCCTCTGTATTTATTCAATTCCAACAGGGAATCAGCTAGTTGGAGGTTTAGTTCTGGTCACGAGGTGGCGCCAGAGACCCATACTTGCTGCTCTGTGCTTTTTCCCAGTGGTTCTCTGAGTAGCAGAGTGGGGGCAGAGGGGAGCCCCTCACCACAGGGGTTCTTATTCCAGCCAAGTGCTGTGTCTGCCCTGTGTTCACCAGGTGTTGTGCCCGCAGCTGTGTGGATCCCACGCCCTGAAATCTGCACTCTAGGTCTCAGTTCCAGGGCTATCAGATCCAAAACGCTGGCTGTCACCCTGTGCAGTGCCTGCTGCTAGGGCGTGTCCCACACCCCGGATCCTGTGCCTAGCTCTCAGTTCCAGGATGGGGTCTTGCTCCACGCCTTATTTCCCCCCGTACCCCCGTTTTCTTGGCCCACCCTCTCTCAGCGCCTTAGAGTGTTTTTGTGATCCCTGCTTTCCAACTGTAGGGTGTTGGTGATTTTTTTCTGGTCGCTAGGTGGCGCCAGAGATCTTTCCTAGTGTCCTTGGGGAACTGTTTTTAAACCCGGGTCTGGGGAAACAGAGTGGGAGTGGCATGGAGAGCCTCAAAGGCGTGGGGGTGCTGTGTCTGCCTTGTGCCCCACAGTCGTGAGGATCCCACACCCCGAATTTCGTGCCCTGCGTCTCAGTCCCAAAGCCCTCAGGTCAGGACGCAGGCTGTAGCCCAGTTCAGTGCCGCAGAAATGGTGCCTTTTGCACCCCGCTCCCATGTCCGGGTGCCTGGTTTCTGATTACTCAGTGAGGGACATTCACCTCAGTGAGGGCCCCCGCGTGTCTCCCTGCAAGCCTAGGTTGCAGGCGAGGGGACCTGGGCAGCCCAGATCTGGGTATGCTTTTCAAGTGAGCAGCTAGCTTTTATGTACAAGCTTACTGGCTGGCCTTGGGCTATTTGTAGGTCTCCTGGGAGTCTTTATTTTTCCCCAATGGCACCCAGAGCCATTCGCTCACCTCCATGGCGAATCCTGCATGGTTCTCTACAGCTCCAGTTCACAGGGTGTGGTGACTGAAATATTTCCTTTCCACTCACAGTCCCACTTGATGCATAATTTGTTCTTGTTGGTTGTCTTAAGTTTTTTTTTTTTCCTCCTTTCTGTTGGTCGGAGAGTGCTGACTTTGTGGGCGGGGGAGGGTAGCAGGGATCTGAGCTTTCCTCCCTTCTAGTCCTCTTTCATGGCAACTTTCTTCTTCGGGCAGTTTGCCAGAGTCACCCGTTTATCTTCTGTGTACCAGTTCTCTCAGGGACCTGCTGCTTTTCCTCCCTATTAACTTTTTTTTTTAATGGAAGGTCTTACTGGCAGCGTTTCCTCGCTGCCATGTTGATGACATATCTGCTCTTCATTAATTTTTTGATACTTGTCTTGTGACCCCATGTGTGGTCAATCCTGGAGAATATTCCATATGCATTTTAGAAAAATGTGTATTCTGCATCTGGGGGGTGCAGTGCCCTGTAGATATATATTAGTCCCATGTGGTCTACTTATGTTTTGGACTGTTGTGTTCCTATTCATCCTCTGTGCCATTGATCTGTTCACTGATGAGAGTGAGGTACTTTGGTCCCCTACCACAGATGTGTTTCTATCAACTTTTGTTTTCAGGTAATAGTAGTTGCCTAATATATTTTGGTATGCCTTCATCTGATGAGTACACATTGATGGTGTATTTTTTTCTTAATCATTACATACTGTTTATTCCTGTTTCGTTAACCTTTTTTAGCTGGAAGTCTGTTTTGTCTGATATAGGTGTCTGAACCTGCCTTCCTTTGGGTCCTATTCCCTTGTAAGTTTGCTTTCCAACCTTTACTTTTAGCGTATGTTTATCTTTGGAGCTCAGGTGTCTCCTGCGGACAGAAGAAAGTGGATTCTATTTCCTAATCCAACCAGATATACAGTGTTTTTTAATTGCTGAGTTCAGTCCACTTACATTTAGAATGATTATTGGTATGTGAAAGTCTGTTGCTGTCATTTTGACCTTAATTTTATGGTTATATTTATTTATGCATGTGCTTCTCTTCAGTTTAGAGATGAGACTCCTTTTAATATTTCTTGGGGTAGAGGGAGGATTCTAGATTTTGCAAACACCTTCAGTTTCTGTTTGAGAACAGAAATTTATTCCTCCCACATATCTAAGGAGAGCCTTACGGTTTTGGCTGGTGGTTTGTTTTTGTGTTTTATTTTTTAACCTTTTCTCATGGAGTTGGATAATTCTCAGTCTTTTTTTTTAACTTCATCTCTCTTTTTCTTATTCTATCTTGCTTCATTGTGCATTAGCGTCTTCAAGTTCACCGATTCATTCTTCCATTTGGTCTATTCTATTTCCATAGATTTTCTCTGAACTTTTATCTTCTCTATTGATTTTTTGTCCTGTTTCTTATTTAAGGCTTCAACTTTGATCTTCTGTTCATTTTATTTCTCAGGACATTCACTTTTCAGAATTTTCTATCTTTCATACACTGTGTTTTCTTCAATTTATTTGAATTTCTTTATTATGTTAATTTTTAGCTATGTATCTGAAGGGATGACAAGTCTTCCATGCCTTTGTGATTGGGTTTTGGAGATTTCTTCCCTTTCTGTAGTGTAGTGTCCCCCTGAGGAATCATGTGGCCACTTGGGGTTTTTCTGTCTCCCCATTCTTTGTTTTCAGGGCCACACCGCTGTGGGAGCAGCTTCAATTGGGGCTTGCTCTGCCCTCCATGCTGGTTCAGGGCTCTTACCCAGTAGGTCTGTGGGACAGTGGTGCCCTAAATCTTTTACCAATGATGTCTAAAGGGTTAGGCAAGTTTTCCTTTTATAGGGAGGAAGAAGCAAGTGGAAAGAGGGTATCAGGACATGGGACAAAAGGAAGTGACATGGTCAGTGTGGCCATTAGAAAATATTTCTACCCTGAGTCCAGCCTGTTCTCAAGAGGAGTTATGAAATAAGAGAGTAGATCAAAGTTCAGGATTTGGTTAACAATTACTTTGTTCTAACTGATCAGTGAGGAAAAGCAATCCTGCTAATCTTTTCGGGGAAAAATGTGAATTTGGAATGTTTGTGTCTGGCCTTCAGAGGTAAATAAAGGGCTGTGAGTCTTAGCTCAGCCATGTGTATAAGGGGGATCACTGCAGTAAGCTGTTTTCCTGAACACAGCAAATAGGGAATTTCTTAAATAGTCCAAGTTTTCCAGGATCACCGGGGTTGGGTAAAATTCAACACTGTTCAACAGGTTAGGGAACAAGAAAACAGTGAGCACCAGAGACAGAAATGTGAAAACACAAATAACCTTTGGTATTGTTTGAGAATCTTAAGCATAAAATACATGAGATGTGAATCTGGAAATAATGGTCATAACCAGTTTTGAGATATCTGGGTGCCAGCCCATTAGGGTAAGTGTTAGGCGGGTCTGCAGACTTTAGGACATGTGTGTCTAAGCACAGGCCTTGGGTTTGGGTGCTCAGGTACATCGGGGGACTATGCAGTGAGCTGCCTATCTGTACCAATCACTGTTCAGAAGGTTAGGGAAGGTGGCTCTTGCTTCCAAGCACCCCTAACAAAAGGGACAGTCTCCCCAGGACTGGTTTGTGGCTGTTGCAAGGATCAGCCACATAGGTGCAATCATGTCATAATATGGAATGCTGATGCTGAGCTGCTGGGGTTGGGGGGGTAGGTGGGAGTCCAAATTTAGAGTCCTGAGTTAGCACAGGCTTTTAACACTCCCCAAGTGTGAACACTGCTGCCTTTTAGAATAAAGCCGCCTACCCAGAGAGCAAGGTCTTATTCATGACCTCTGCCTCTGTATGCCTTTCTTATATGGAGAAATCCTACCTGCTTAACACGCTTCCTTTCATACCAGCAACAAGAGAAAAAGAAGCCCAAGGACATTTTTAGAATAAAAGAACTAGTTACAAATGACCCAAGACTTCTATGCTGCTCGTAGGAGGGGAATCTCGTCTATCAGCAATATCTAAAATGTACTTTCAAAGATAAATAAGGGGCCATGTTCTCTCAGAGCAGATGAACTATCAAGCAGCTGCATGTACCATGGCTTCCTAAGCAGGTGACAGCCTATAGGTGACCTAGAGGACTTCCATGCTGTGGGTGCTGCAATGGAATCCACCTGCACTAAACAGTGACTACACAGCTCTACAAACTGCACAGGCTCTTCCCCAGAGCTGGGCCACCCTCCCTAAGCTCCCAGCCATTACCACAACACTGGATTACCACTGGGCACTTTTCTCTAACCTGAGTGTGTGGCCCCATCTTACACTTTTGTGCTTGCTACAAAGTGGGGCCTTGATGAAGCTTTGTCATCTACACCTAACTCATGCCTATGACAAGACCTAAGATCTAAAATGCACAGCAGTTCAGTGTTCTATTTCTATTTATTCAGGAGAACATTTATATACAAATACTATAAATTTTTATATACAGAAATAACCCCTTCTTCAACAAGTGTGAAAAGACCAAAAAAAAATAGTCCCTTACCCCCTCACCTTTTTTAAATCTAGATGACCCATGAAGACAGACTCAAACTCCGGGTGTACTTTCTTCACTGCAGACACCAGATACTGAATCTAGACCTGTCTGGGCAGTGCTCAAAGGAAGAACTTGGATGTGGGAAGTGAAAATCCCTTTCCCAAGTTGGTGCCCAGAACCATGACTTCACCTGCCTGGCCTCATGGGTGTCATTTCCTGAAGCGCTTGAAAAGCGGGTGCACATGCTTAGTGGAAGCCTTGTTCCGTGATGAGTGGTACTCCATGTACACTGTGTCATCAGCCCCCGACATGGAGCTCATGGTGCCAAAGCGCCGAGACACCTGTGGGAGGACCCAGCCCACTGTCAGTTTCCAAGAGGAAAGAAACTCTTTTTATAGTATTTATAAGTTTTATAACATTTACAAGTTTAATAAACTACATTTTAAGAACATTTACTGACCTTTTACTATGTTCCAGGTATCATGTTAAGCAGTCTACACATATTAACTCTTCTAATCCTCACAATAATTCTCATCTTAACAAGGAGGAAACTGAGGCACAGAAAGATTAAGTAACTAATACAAGAGCACAAAGCTATTAAAGACCTGGGCCTTGAACCCAGGCAGTAGGGCTTCAGATTCCGTTTTTAACTATAGTACTACCCGGCCTCTCCAGGTAGTACTGAACAGCATTTTTAATAGTCTCTCAAAATGTCCCTCGACTCCATCATAAGGCTTTGAATCAACTGGAGAGCAGAAAGCCCTGGATATGGATCTTGACCCTGCCTCTCACTGGGTGACCTTGGTAAATACCATCTGCCTGTACCTTAATGAACTCATCTGTAAAAGGGTTATCCCCCAACGTAGGTGGCCCACAGCGCACACATCAGGTTCTGACTTGGAGCCAGGCATTACAGTGCACTGGTCACAAGGAAGGATGGAGCAGGCACTGGGAAAGGACTTTAAGAGCTTGGCCCCAGCAGAGGGACTGACCAGAAGTCAGTCAGAGACAGAAAGTTTCCCTGGGATTTCTTTGAAGACTGTCCAGAGGGCGATCCAGCTGCCCACCCACTTGGGGGAAGAAAAGCCTCCAGCTGGAGAGCGAGGACCTGTCCTGGTGACACTCCTTCCTTCTCTCCCCGTTACAGTCATTGCCCCCTTCTTGGCTCAAACATCGATTTAGTTTCAAAAGGACCTGCCTAAACTGTGCTTGTCTCTCTGAATGGACCTGAGATAACTGCCTATGATTTTTAATTATCACATGTTACATGTTGTATTTGCCTGTATGTTGGAAAAGGCAACTGAGAGAATGGACTGTCTTTGACCAGGAGCTGGAAGCAGGCAAGTGGAGTCTCCTTTGTCTCCACTGTCTTTACAATGTACATTCCTTTGCCTTCCCCTCTCCAAGAAACTCCTCCCAGGACACAGCCTCGAGGTAGTGATGCTGAGACCATCCAGGTGGTGTACTTGACTAAACCCAGTTAAAGTCTCTATGTAAGCCTTGAGATTTGGGAGGTGGGGTGGAAAACGTGTTTTGCAGCCATCCAAATCAAATCACTTAAGTCAGTTTCCTTGGTTATGAAAACTACCACTAACACTCTGGAGAGGCTGGCCCTTTTCATCAGTCTCTCCCTACCCTCCTTGTACAGGGCCTGGTTTCACATCATGCCTGGAATTCTCCCAAGGTTGTGACCTAACACCAGCATACAGTAGGTATTCGCTAAGTATCTACAGAATACTTAGTGAGAACTCTAAATTTTCCCCCAAAAGCATTGAATCTGCAAAATGAGTTGAGCCTCAGATCTCTATTACAAGTTGGAAAATTCAGTTCTATTACTGAGGACAAAATCAGAGTTCAACGAACCAACTTGCCAAAGGCCCCAGTCCCGTCATATTCCAACCCAAAGCCACCCTTATGAAAGCCTGGGGTCATATTTGCTTCCATTATTCACTCTTCAAAAGACTGCACAAGCACATACAATGTAATGTGCCTGTGTGTGTGTGTGTGTCTAAGAATTCTGTCCCTTAGGAGTAAGACACTGAAGCCTCACCCACTCACTCACCTGGCTGGATCTGGAACTAAATTCTCCTGCCACCATCTCTTCCTCAACATCCAGGTCTGTGGCTGCCAAGACGTTTTGTAAAAGCTGCTGTTGCTCTTCTTTTGTTGAGAATGCCAATTCTTCCTCCTCCATGCCAGCAAGCTTTGTGATCACCTACAAAGTCAAAACCAGCAGGCTGAGTCCACTTTTGTTTGCACTCTTCTGGCTCAGCCTTCTCCTGGGTTGGCATGCTAGGATCACTTCCTTCCTATAGGCAAAGCTGGGCAGGTGGCTAGCAAGGGAGAGCTCTGACTGGGCATTCCAGAGACCAGCTCCAGCAACTTCCGTTAACAGGAAGCTTAAGAGGTAACTGCAAAGCAAATAGAGAGAAATTGGCTTCCAACACAGAGCAGCCAAATAATCACTTACAGAAGACAAAGAAAAATATTAGCAATTTTAAAACGCCCATCCTGGTAGTTCCCCATCTTGTACTAGGTAAGGAAGGGAGCAAATACTCAGGGGCAGTTTCCGCTCTCTGAGGACTTTCAACCTCCCGAGTTTGGTGCCCAGAGCTTCAAGCAGCAGGGAGCACTCGCACATGACAAGCTGTCAAGAATGGAGTCACAAGAGCAAGATACAACACAACTGAGACTTCTCTGGAGACAACTTAGAAGAAAGCCTACCTGTCCCTCAGAAAACTGGAATGGAATGCTTAAGGTGGACTTCTTTTCCCTCTGGTTTTTCCTCAAGATTTTACCACCACCACCACCCCCCCCGTCCCTTGTGTCCTCCTGTCCCTTTCCCTCCCTCTCAACTGCAGAAGGTTTACTGATGTCTATTATTTCTTTAAGTATTTCACAGTTGAACTTTGTTTTGTGAATGTCTAATACTTTGTTTTCACCCTTCTCCTTTACTATGCTGCACAGAACTCTCTCAAATTCCCTCCATCCTTTCTTACAGCAATGTACTACTGCGTGGCGTGTGCACCACATCTTCTCGGGACAGGGTTTCTATGCCTTTCTCTTTCACTTCCCCTTCCGGGAGCCCTGGCACACAGATGCTATTTCTTTTTAAGTTGTCCCAGAAGCTTACCCTGTTTTCATTTCCTCACTCCTTTTTCACTCTATCGAGTTCTTGTGTCCTCCAACACTGTGTTTTCAAGCTCATCAATCCTTTCTGTTGCTTCTGTTGGCTGGTGAGGCCCTGCATTGTATTTTTAAAATCAGCTATCGTGTTTCTTTTTTTTTTATGAATTCTATTTTTTTTAAGATTTTATTTATTTATTTATTTTATTTATACAAGCACTGGGTACAGTCAGAAGCGCGGGAGGGTGAGAGAATTCACCAGAGCCAGAGCGGGGAGCAGAGCAGGCAGAGGGACCGAAGTACACTGCTGAGGGGAGCAGCGGGCAGCAGGAGAGGTCTACGCGCCTTGTGGGACCCTCCTCCAGTGGCCGGGGAGCAGCCGGGATAGAACCGGCGCTGCAGAGGCTGCGGGCAGTTTTGCAACCCAGCGCTCAACCGCTGCGCCATGGAGAGGCCCCTATCGTGTTTCTTAACTCCATTACTTCCGAATGGAGCTGCCTCCTATTTTCATTATCCTTATTCTGGTGTTGTTTTGTACTCTGGGTGTTTGTTTGTTTGTTTGTTTTTAAACTCCCATTGGCATTGCCAGGACTGTTACCTTGAATTCCCTTTCCATCATGCTCTGCATCTCCACTGAATCAAGGCTCTTGTCAGGGATCTTTCGTTCTGGCATTTGGACTGTGTTCTTCTGCCTCCTCATTTTTGATTTTGTATAGGTTTCAGTAGGAACAAACTTCCCACTGCTGTTTTGGTCAGGAGACTGGCACCAGTGAGGGGCAGTAGGTACAGAAGAGCAGTGGGGCGACAGGCATCAAAGGATCACCTCCAGGGGTGACACATTCCTTTGTGGGGGCCGCAGGTGATCTAGATACCCCAGAACAGGCTTCATTAGCCTCTTCATAGGGAATGCAGGTGCTCTGACCTGAGTCAAGCTACAGTGCTCTGTATGAGCCTTAGATTCAAGTCAGGAGTCCTCACTCTGTTCCCTCATCCCCCAGCTCCCCTGCAATGCACCATCCATCCTGACTACCACTGACACACCCCCTTGTTCAATGCAGTACCAGACCTTAGGAGCCCTGATGTTGGCAAGTATCTGAATCAACAACTGTAGGGTGCTGCACAGGAGCTACTTCCGTCTCTCGGGGATTGTCCCGCCCTGTTATCACTCTAAACAGAGCTCACATGAGGTTTTTCCTACCCCTTTACATTGGGCCGATGCTCTTATTGTCTATGATGCTAGTCAGTTTTTCTCTCAGAGGTCTTCTGGGTTCGTTTTACATCAGTTTTGCTGTCCTCATTTGAAGAAGGCAAGCCCAACACCTTCACTCTGCCACCCTCTTGCCAGACTCCCCTCTTAATTTTAATTAAAGAAAGCTCCTAGCAGTAAGGAACTAGGCAGAGTTCTCCAGGTGGCCACATTCAGAAGGACAAATATAGGACACGTCTGTCTTGGCTTGATCACCCTCCTGGAATGCCAGGATGATGATTCTGGGAACTCCAATCCTGCCACTTTCAGCAATCACCACTGGAGGCATGGAAGGAAAAGGGGAGTACACGCTGGGTGCCGTTTTTGTCGAGTACACATTTTGGAGAATCCAGAGCTATTCCTAACTCAGAGCTTCTCTTGCACTGACTGTCCCAGGAATCGGGAGGTCAGCATCAGAGCTCCAGTGCCTACCTGAGTTCTGATGCTGCTGTCAGCACATGCCTTTGATAAAGAGATAGAAAGGTCACAATGCAAATCTTTCAAAAATCCGTCCTACTGCAAAAAAGTATGAAAAGTGTTGCTGTTTCCGGCTAAAAGCAGTTTCCTGCTTCTGGCACCCTCCAGAAAGGTCAAGAAGCAGAAATTCCACGCCTTGTTATTCTAAGGTCCCATTCTCTGACTATTCACTCTGAGAAGCTGGGGGCAGGCAGGGGTCCTGCATGATACTGTCCCTCAAACCTCCCTGCTACCGGCACCACCACACATCAGTTTTTGCAGTCTCCAGTGTCTGCCTGAGCTCTGTCCCATGCCGGTGGCCCCCACTTCTGGAGGCCTGGGTACAAAATAAACCTTGGCTCCCCTCTGACAAGAGACCAAAATGGATCCATACCTTAAAGCTACACCCCTGATCTACCAAGAATCTCTGACGCTTAGTTGAGTAAGCCATCTCCTGTGTATCCTGGGACACCAGTGAGTAAAAGAAGCTTTGTATTCCTCTGCAACCATCCCTGGAGAAGAGGCAGGAAACAGGGTATCAGCTGTTGTTAAGGTAGAAAGTAAAGGCAAAAGACACGTCTTGCAGTTGGAGAGTTTTGTGTCAGGGAGTGATCATCCTAACCCTGCATGAGGACATCATCAAAATTAAGTACTTCAGTGCTTCAAAGGACACCATCAAGAAAATGAAAAGACCATAGATTGGAGAAAAATATACAAGGCATACTTCTGATAAGGGATGTGTATTTGTAAAAAAATTATTACATTCCCAGGGAAAATGGAACAAAATGGTCACTAGCTCTGACATCCAGGAAATTTGGGTTTAAATCCTAGTCCTGCAGCTTAATAAACCTGTATATTTCAACTAGTGAAGACAAATAACTCAAACATAAGAAGACCAAAGGATCTGAGCAAATGTTTCTCCAAAGCAAATATAAAAATCAACAGTAAGGACAAAGAGTTCCACATCAATAACCAGGGAAATATAAACCAAAACCGCAACAAGACACGACCTGGCATCCACTAGGATGGCTACAATAAAGACAGATTACTATAAGTGTCAAGAATGTGTAAAAATTGGAAGCCTCATAATAGATTACTGGTGAGCATGTGAAATGGTGCAGCAGCTTTAAAAACAGTCTGGCAGATTCTCTAAATGAAAAATGTAAAGTTACCATGTGAGCTAACAATTCCACTCCTAGACACATACCCAAGAGAACTGAAAGCATATATCCATACAAAATTTTCATAACAGCATTATTCCATGAGCCCTAAAAATGGGAACAATTCAATGTCCATCAACAGATGAATGGGTAGTGTTATGTCCATGCAGTAGAATTATTATTCAGCATTAAAAAAGAACAACAATCCTTTTGTATAATCCTTTTGAAAACATGTACACTAAATGAAAAAAGCCACTCATAAAATGCCCAAATTATATAATTCGATACATATGAAATGTCTAGAACAGTCATGTTTATAACAACAAAAGTAGATTTGTGTCTACCTGGCATTGCAGACTGGGAGGCAACAGAAAAATGAGAGTTACTGTTAATGGCTAGGGATTTCTTTATTGTGATAATGACAATATTCTAAACACAGATTTGGTTATGATTATACAAATTTGTGAATATACTAAAAACTACTGAATTATATACTTTAAATGGATCAGTTGTATGGTATGTGAATTATATCTCAATAAAGGGGCTTAAAGAAAAAAAAACATGGGCCAGTGGCTCAGCGGTTGAGCGCTGGGCTGCGAGGCTGCCCGCAGCCTCTGTAGCACCGGTTCGATCCCTGGCCACCAGCAAGGGTCCCACATGGCACACAGACCTCTCCTGCCGTGCCCACTGCTCCCCTCAGCAGTGCATTTCGTCAGTCTGCCTGCTCTGCTCCCCGCTCTGGCTCTGGTGAATTCTCTCACCCTCCTGCACTTCTGACTGTACCCAGCGCTTGTATAAATAAATGAATAAATAGTAAAGAAAAAAAGAAAAAAAATCTCCAAGAAATTCTAGAATAAGAGAATTCTAGAAGAGCATTATCACAGAAACTAGGACAGGAAATATACCTGTAAAACCTAATCCTTCTGGAAAATCTGAATAGTTCTGTTTCACCATTCAAATGTTAGTAGGTTAAGTATCTGTGTACTGCCTCTGGATCCAACTGTTTCATAGTCTTATAGGAGCTCAGAGATGCAAAGAAAGCAACAAAATAGCTTATAATAAAGACAAAACTTTAATTAAATCCAAAGAAGCTTTCAAATTAGGTTTTCTTTTTCTTATGATGAAAAGAATAAGTAATGAATAGCATCATATACACTTATCAGATTATATTCTTGTCAGTTTAGAAAAGCTACAATTTCCCCAACAGCCTACTATATTCTGTTGTGTAAGTCTTTTTCCTGCAAGATAGTACTGCTGTTCCTACT